CTCCCGCTCCCACTCCCACTCTCGCTCCCGCTCTGACTCCCACTCCCGCTCCCGCTCCCGCTCCGACTCCCGCTCCCACTCCCACTCTCGCTCCCACTCTGACTCCCGCTCCCGCTCCCACTCTCGCTCCCGCTCTGACTCCCGCTCCCACTCTGACTCCCGCTCCCACTCCCACTCTCGCTCCCGCTCTGACTCCCGCTCCCACTCCCGCTCTGACTCCCACTCCCGCTCCCGCTCCCGCTCCCGCTCCCAGTCCAGCTCTGACTCCCGCTCCCGCTCCGACTCCCGCTCCCACTCCCACTCCCCCTCTGACTCCCGCTCCCACTCCCGCTCCCGCTCCCGTTCCAGCTCCCACTCCCGCTCCCCTCCCCTCGCCTCTGGTCGAGCCCTGCCCAGCGCACAGGCCGATGCCCACCTCCGTCTGCGACTCGGTCCTGCAGCCCAGAAGTGTCACCTCGCGAGGACCAAACATACAAACGTGCAGGTGCTCTCTGACCTGACTTCAGACCCCACAGCTTGTGAAATTGAAAAGAAAAGCAATCCGTGTACTGTTAAGCAAGCTGCGTCTCCGGTTAGCTGACAAGTGGCAAGGAGTGGGCAGATTCTGAAGAGGGAAGTAGCGTGTAAAAGTAAACAGAGATAAGATCCATAAAGAGAAAAATAAATTCTTTATGAAGAGGTAGTGAGTACCCTTTGCTTTCTTTCAGCATTCAAGTAAGAGCAAGAGTTTAACACACTCCAAAGTTTGAGCAGCTGTGCTGAAGCACCACGGCTCCCCAGCTGGAAAGGATGCTGAACAGTTATTCTCCCTTACATTTATACCCAACTAGCAGTCCCCCTTCTAGGTCGTCCTGGACAACTGACCAGGCAGACTCTGTGTAAGTAACTCCAGTGACAAGAGACTCGTTAAACAAATCAGGACGCTTTAACTGCTGTGTTGTACTTTATCCACCAGTTCTAGCCTCCTCCCACGCTGGGGTGTGAAATTCCGGGGATACTAGAGTAGTCAAGAACTCATTTGTCAGACCCTTGGCTGCCCTAGGTACCCTGACCCAAGCCGGCCTGCTGGAAAAGCTCATCACCTTTATACTCCTTTACCTGCCTTGCTACTTTACACAACATCAGACATTTTACCCAGCCCAAATTTTACTCCTATATGCAAAGAGTAGATCCTGAGAGTATATCCTGTAGCCACAAAGCAAATGGAGCTCTAGGAAGAAATACTGGAGAGACCAATGCTTTACCTCACCCAGTGAATAACTTCATGCTAAGGCTATCTATCCACCCACCCGTCCATCTTTTATCCATCCATATGCCTTATTTTTTTTTTAATTTTAAAGACAGTAAAAATAAATAAATAAATCACAAATTAGCAACATAGACAAAAACAAAGCAACACAAAAACAATAAAAATGACACAAGGCTTCAAAATAAAATGATAGGAATTAACAGTGGTTGTTATATTACATATCGTTATCTTCAATGAAGTTGCTCAGATTACCAGCTGTAAGCATGCAAGATGGATCAAACCATTAAGGCGAATAAAAAATCATGTTTAAAAACATTAGAAATGATACAGAGCTTCACTAAACAAGATGGTAGGAATTCACTAATGATTGTTATCTTGCATATTGTTGTCTTCAAATTAGTTGTTCAGATTACCAGATATAAGCATGCAAAATTGGTCAAAAAAAATTTAAGCATTAACTGTTCCTTTCAATAAACCACTAGACAGCAGTACAATTATCCCAGCTGTCCTTCTGTATACATATTTTCCCTTCCTTGTTTCTTTCTTTTTCTCCTATCCGTCATCCCATTTGTTCCTTCCCTTTGAGCAATTTTTTTCCATTTCACAATATCTATTGTATCTTTTGTGTTTTACTTACTCTTTCAGGCTCTTATAGTAGGGAGAGAATATGATGTTTATATGTGTGGATCTGATTTATTTCACTTCTGAGTATGTTCTCTAGTTTCATCCATTTACCTACAAAAGCCTCTAGTTTATCTTTTTTATAGCTGAGTAATACTCCATTATATAAAATACCACATCTTAATGGATGCTGATATCTATTGGTTTATTGAAAGGAACAGTTAATGCTTAAAATTCTTTGACCAATTTTGGGTGTTTATATCTGGTAATCTGAACAACTAATTTGAAGACAACAATGTGCACAACAGCAGCCATTGGTCAATTCCTACCATGTTGTCTAGCGAAGCTCTGTATCATTTCTGATGGGTTTGGTTTTTTTTTATTTTTTATTCTCTTTAATGGTTTGATCAATCCTGCATTCTTACAGCTGGTAATCTGAGCAACTTCACTGAAAATAACAATATGTAATATATTGCTAATTATTGTTAACAATGTTAATCCATAATCCCAACACTCTGGGAATTGTTAACAATTAACACTGTTAATTCCTATCATTGTTTTGAAACCCTGTGTCATTTTTATTGTTTTTGCTTTGCTTTCTTTTTCTCTACATTGTTGTTATTTTGTTATTTTTTATTCTCCTTAAAATAAAATAAAAATTAATAAGCAAAATGCCACATCTTTTTTATCCATTCTTTGGTTGATGGGCATTTGGGTTATTTCTGAGATTTAGCTATGACAAACTGCACTGCTATAAACATAGGTGTACATATATCCCAATGGCTATCATCAAGAAATCAACCGGTAACAAATGCTGGAGGGGCTGTGGGGAAAAAGGAACACTTCTCCACTGCTGGTACGAATGTAGACTAGTGAAACCACTGTGGAAATAAATGTGGAGATTCCTCAAAAAACTAGGATTAGAGGTTCCACTTCACCCCGCTATTCCCCTTCTGGGTATTTTCCCAGAAGAATTAAAAACATATGCCTTATTTTTTTGTTGGTTTCTTGTTTGTTTGGTTGGTTGGTTTTGTTTTTTTTGACACAAGGTCTCACTATGTAGTTCAGGCAAGCCTTGAACTCATTCTGTAGCCTGGGCTGGCCTCAGACTTGCAGCAATCCTCTTACCTCAGCCTCCCAAGTGCTGGGATTAGAGGTGTGTGCCATCACACCCGGATTTACTTTATTTATTTATTTATGAACTTGAATTAAAAGGTGAAGTAGCTCTCACAAAAATACACATAAATACATTTCCTTAAATTGGATTATTATGGCAGATTATGTTTTCAACATAAGCTAAATGTAACTTGACTGATTACTTTGACAGTGAAGACTGATTTTTGCCAATGGGATTATAAGGCGTAAATTTTCCATAAGCTGAATGGTAAAATCTCCACGATGAGTGTTTGATTAAAAAATATTTACTGAGGATAGATATGGTGGTACATACCTGTAATCCCAACACTCTGGGAATCTGAGGCAGGAGGATCACAAATTTGGGCTCACCCTGAGCAACTTAGTGAGTCCCTGCCTCAAAATAACATTTAAAATAAGAAAGGGGTGGGGAGATAGCTCAGGGTAAAGACCTTGGGTGTAGTCCCCAATACAGCAAAAATGTTTGTGTGTGTGTGTGTGTGTGTGTGTGTGTGTCTACTGAACAGAGATAACATGACACATGTAGGAAGTTGAGTTCTTTAAACTACTTATAAAGTTGTTTATAAAAGGAATGAAAATTATTCACAAGGTGTATAAACCTTTAAAAACACTTCCATGTATACATGGCCAGGAGAAAAATGTGCTGTAGAAAACAGTAATAAGCTCCCTCCTCCAGTGGCCGACCTCTGAGTATCCAACAACTCCTTGTCCCTTGCCTCTCATATCCACCTCGACCCTCCCTGGAAGCCTCAGCCATTCCTTATAACACATTTGACAGGGCATCCTGTGGGGGAGGGAGCCATCCCGGAGGGGTGAGCTCTGCCCTCCCTGAGCTCTGCTCACCCTAGCCTGGTCCAGGGATGGACTCAGATGTCATGGCTCCTGCGCCTCATCAGCAGGAGGTGATGGCCACACCCGCTTCGTGATCTGATAAGCCAACAAATGGCTGAACAGCACTCTTGGTCCAACTCAAGCTGTCTCCCTCAAGGCACTATCTCAATAAAAAGGGGCGGGGAGCAAGAGGAGAGTGCATGCCAATGCTGCTGAAGATGGGAAGGTGTCAGCAAACAAGACGCCGGCACACGGCCAAGCCCCAGGCAGGTGACACACACAGTGACACCGCAAGCAGCAGGCTGTGGGTTTTGGAGAACTCATGGACACCATGTTCTTCATTTCTTTACTTCAACACTGCCAACATGACCTCCCAGACATGCTCAGATCTTGCACATAAAACTATAGGTTTCTATAAATTCTGCCCTTGAGATCCAAACAGAATATAGAGTCAAAATCTTACCCTCTAATCTTCTAAGTAGATTTTTAATAAATTGGTGTTAGAAAGTGAAGTCTTTAAAGTCATAACCTTGCAAAGCAGTAGCTAGGCACCTGAAAGAGAAGAAAATTGGCTTTTGGAAATTCTAAAACATTCCTGGGGTTCTTCTCAGGGGCACCTGCCTCTGCTGCTCCAGAACAGAACGTCGCTCTTGTGAGGCTGCGGCCCCCAGGCCATCACTGCCCACCTCACACCCTCAGTTCGGCAGCTGAATCTCAGCCAGGGTCACAGCCGAGCCCTCAGAGCGGCCGTGAGAGCCACAAATCCTAACACCCCTTCTGTTTGACTCATGGTCAGCTACTTTGGTTATTGCTCCAGTTTTTATTTCCAAATTCAAAACTCCTACTTCTTTACAACTTAACAGCTAAAGTCTGTTTCCTGTCTAGAGACTTCTTGCTACAGAGTATGGGTGCCCACAGAGAGGCGTCTCCTCTGTGCCCTAAACAGTCCCGTCTTCCAGCTCAGGCAGCCTCAGCTCCCATCCTTCTCCAGGGTGCTGACGCTCCTGGGTGGCCCTGGCAGTGCGCACCAGTCCAAAAGCTCTCCAGATACATTCTTATGCTCTATCCTATTTTAAGCAGTAAAATGTGGGATTAGGTCCACTGAGGATACAGGGAAGCTCTCCAGGACTTTTTCTGGCCCAGATGCTCCTGTTCTTAGTTGAATCAGTACTTCAGGGCTTGGTTCTCTCTGCCTGGCCTTCTTATTTTTTCAAGCAAGGCTTTAAAGGATTGACAGCATGGGGGAAAGTTCTTGAGTTCGGAGGCTCTGCCAAGCAATATAAGCAAAAGAAAACTGACCTCGGTGATTTTCTGGGTAGCAACTGCCAATAAAGATGTAGCTACATTTCACAAAGAGGGGAGAAAAGAGCTAAGAAAAGGCCACCTTGCACAGAGCATCTGTTTTTAAGGAAGGATCCCAACAGTTGGATTGATGTTTCTCTGAACATTGTAGTGACTAGAATTAGTCACTTGGTAAGGAGTCAGAATTTATTATGAAAAAAGAAACCAAGGGAGAATAGAGGAATACTAGTTGTCTCAGCCACACCTAACTGGAAAGGTTTATCCAGGGAAACGATTCATAGTATATACGTCACTGACGTTCGCGGCATTCTGTATCACCCATCCCCGTGTCTGCATTAGCTCCATGAACACCACCTGCTGAAGCCACAGGCCCCCATTCCAGTGACCTAGCGTACAAGACGCCTGTGCGTCTGGCACTCACATGACACCACTTCAAGCCGCGATCTCTGACTGACAAGCTGATTCCTCCGTAATGTGATGACAAAGGTTCTTCTATTTACAAGAAACTCTTCCCTTTTGTCAGACTTGAACGAGCAGAAGAGCAAAGGAGCGTGCAGCAGGCACAGGCACATCTCAGCGGCACACTCCACAGGGACTCACGGAGTATCCCAGAGAAAGCAGGGGCCTGCCACACCCGCGCCGTGCTGCCGGGAGAAAGACGAGCAATTTTTCTCAACAGTGGACTGTGTCTGCCAGGATGCTTGTCTTGGGGGAAATTTCAGTGCAGAGGACTCACATGGCAATGTCACCTCATTTTCAGTGTGGAATCAGCACCTTCGACTCTGTGACAACCACAGATTTGTTGGGATAAAAGAGTAGCGGCCCGTTGGACACTTGAAAGAGAATCTTAACGTGACTCTAAAAATAAACCACTCTATAAAGATAAATTATGAGTTGTGACCGTGAAGCATGGCGAATATTTATATTTAAAAGTTTCATCGCAGTAAAAGCACATTGCCAGCATCCCCCTCTCATCCAATACATTTATCCCATCCCTCTTGCCACTTTCTGAAGCAGTTCTGCAAGTCCTCTTTCTAGAGCAACGGCGGCAAATTTTCATGTAACTCTTTTTTTCTTTTAAAATGAAAGATGTTAATGTAGGAGTTGTTTTTTCTAAACTAAAACTTCAGCATTCAGGTCTAATTGCAGTGTTGGCACCTTGCGATGAATAATGGGTTTTGCGATGAATAATGGGTTACAGTTTGGGCATTCCTCTCTAAAAGGTTTACCGTCACTGGGTGCCATGTCTGCGTGAAGTCCTCTTCCGCGATGAAGCACCCAAAACGCTGAATATTAGAGAACTTTCATCTTCCAGCGGTAAGCCTCAATGCCAGCGTCTTTGCGGACAGAACCACGGCGGCCTGGAGCACGAGTGCCGTTTTCTCATTCAGCCACGAGAGGGCACTGTGTGACTGTTGATTACCACGACATTGTCCCACCTAACAGTTTTCCAAGCTAGTTACCCGCAGACCATGTTTTAATAACCTTAGAAAATGCCAAAAGAAGGACCAGTTACCAATAGCGAGGCTGTAGAATACAAGAGAGATTTCTTTTGGGTCTTAGAAATTGCAATTCGTAAGACAGAAATGGGAGTAAAACTAACAGTATGTTCGGAAGGAAGAACAAAGGGATTGAGTCCAAGAAGGCAAAAACTGGGCTGGCTGCTGGAGGCCACGTCCAAGTCCACGCGTCCGCAGCTCATTGGTCAGTGAGCTCACAGCGACGGTGGCGCGGAGCAGGCTCGGGGTCAGCGTGCTGGACGACCTGGAGGCTCCTCAAATGTGCTCTCTCTGACCCAGGTGACTCCGTCTCAGGTAGAAATTTCTAAGACTTCACACAAGAAGTATTTATTTGCTATTATCCTTCAATTTTATTTGAATAACAAAAATTTCCTACAACAAACAATATAAGGCTATCCAGAAACTGGAAGCAATATCTTGTTACAGGTGCAGAGATGAAAAATTATAAAGGAATTTGAATCTTAACAAGATGTAAAAATATTAACTTAAATGGATAAAACAAACAAAACAAAACAAATAAGCAAACAAAAAACCAGCCAGAGCTGAACTCAGAAGAAAATATGGGGGTAAATCTTCATGACCTTAGATTTATTTTTAGTTGCTTAAATACGTCATGAAACGCATTAGGAGTAAAAGGAAATGGGGGGGAGAAGATAAATTGGGCATCACAATTGTCTCAATCAAAAACAAAATAAACTAAGGAACATGTTTTTAAATGTTGATTTTTAAAAATCAGAAGTACATAAGACTAAGAAGTATGTAAAAAATTAAAAAGTGAGAAGAAATTAAAAGAGAAACATTTTGCACCTAATCCTAGAGGAACAGGTGATTTGCTAGTAAAAATAGACATTAATCAAATGAATTCTAAAATAAGGAATACATAAGTAGATCAATGAGGATAGAAAAGCTTAGAGATTTCTCACTGGAAAAGACCCCGGGGCCACATGGGTTCCTAGCAGAGCCTAAAATGATCTTTAGCAAACTCTGATTTTATTTAAATGGTAATTTTAGAAAAACAAAAAGGTGATTGTCTTTACTTTATGGTATAACGGCAAAGTTTGATAGAATTAATATGTGTCATCTAGCATAGGATGTCAATATTTGTAAAACAATTTTATGTACAAATATACTCCCAACTAAACTGTAACTTTCTCAACAAAAGAAAAATGCTGCTGGTGAGTTTTTTTCCATAAAAATACAAAATATATTTTTAGTAAATCTTATTTTTTGGTATGAATAATATACTTAAACTTAGATAATACAGGTTTTAACTTGCCTACTTTTCTATTTTCAATATTGTTTCAAGTATCTTTACAGTACTCATGGCCATCGGGTCCATTAATAAGAGTCCGGCGCCCCCTCCCCAGCCCCATGTTGCAGGTCTGCCTTTTCTCCTTTCTCTCCACTGCAATTTCTCCTCAGAAGCAAACCTAAACTGGAAGGGGAAAAAACAACAACTTCAGCGTGCTACGATGATTAGTAGTCAAAGTCTCGCCAAAGGGATGCTTCCGTAAAAGTAAGTCTTGCTAAAATGTTGCGCGGGGAGTGTGGGGGCATGGGCAAAGTTCCCCGCTTAGCGGACCACAGACCGGAAGGTTCTCTCTCCACCCCCTCTACTGGGACTGAACTCGGCCTTTGCACTGAACCGCCTCCCCACCCGCTTTCTTATTTCTTTTATTTTGAGACACTAGGTCACTAAGCCACTAAATGTCACAGGCTCGGCTAGAAACTGCCGTCCTCCTGCTTCAGCCTTCCAGTGTTGGGGTAGCTACGCCCGGCTTTTATTCACCCCCAGGTGTCCCGAAATCACAATGGCGTGTCTCTGGGTGGAGCCTGGGGAGACCAGAGCTCTGGCCCTCAAGGGGACACAGCCCGGACGGCTGTGAGCGGGTCGCAGGAGGCTCCAGTGACTGGGAGTGCACGCCGCTCAGGCTTCTGGCACCGTGCGGGAGGCCCAGCGGTCTTTGTTTAGTGGAGTTTGTGCGCCCCCTTGCGGCAGTCCGGATGACTCTCTAAAATGTGATATTCTGATTATCCCAGACCATATTTTTGGAAATTCAAAGTCAAACAGAACTCTCCTTCCCATGCTTGCATCCAAATGGACAAAGGCAGGAAGCAAAACAGATAGTGAATAGATCAAAAATTTATGTATTTCCTATAGGTCAGCAGTATGTGAATAATTGGAACTTGAAATGAAAGAAATTCCATTTACAATAAGACCCAAAAGATTAAAGTCCTCAGCTATAAATCCAATAAATTATATATAAATATGAATTCAGAAAATCTTGAAATGAGATTTAGAGAAATCAGAAGAAATGTAAATAAACAGAGATACTCTTTGCTCAGAAACACTATATCTTGATTTATATATTCAGCACAATTCCAACCAAACATTTATAGACAACACAAAACTGAGAACAGGAATGTCAAAGAAAGTAATCATCCAGATCCGAACATGTAGCATAAGTTACAGTAATGAAGAGGGTGGCGCTGGGAAAGGAATGGATAAATGGGAGAGTAAAGAGCCACAAATAACTCCATGGAAATACAGCCGACTGATGCCGTCGAAGGGACGAGGCAGCTCAACACGGAGAGAAACACCTGTTCCATAAGTGGCAACAGGAAATTAAAAGCCATGTGGGGAAACCCGGACATGGGAGCAAAAGCTGGAGCTTACCCAATAACTCTGCTCAAAATGTTGCATTTTTTTCAAAAGGAAAATTGTAAACATTACAGAAAAATAAAGCACAGAAGAAAATCTACATGGCTTGGGTTGGGTGGTGAGTTTTTAGATACAGTACCAGAAGTCAGCCATTGGAAATAGCAATGATAATAATAAAAGTAATAATAATGTTGACTTTACTTAAATATGTCTACTCTGTGTAAGATCCTGTTGAGTAAATAAAAAATTAACATACTGGGAAAAATATTTCAAAAACATCTGAAGAGGACTTGTATGCCAATATAGTAACAAAATCTAAAACTGAATATGAAGACAGGAAAACACAATTAAAAATGGGTAAGTGGCTGAGAGTGTAGCTCACCAGATAAAGATTGCTTAGCATGCACAAAGGCATGGTTTCCATCCCCAGAACCACTCAAAAAACAGTAAAGATCTGAATACGAGATTTGAGCACTTCAAAATGGTGATATACAGAAGACAAATAAGCATCAAAACACTACGTAACATTATCATGTCATGAAGGAAAAGCCAATTACAATGAGATAGCACTGTTTAAAATAGTCAAAAGTTAAAAATACAAAGCAAGAAAATAATAGCAACTGTGACAGGAGCCCTTACTCATTGCTGGTGTTAGGACACAAAGAAGACACATGAATATCCACACTTATTTTGGGAATATTCACAATAGCTAAGATACAAAATCAGCCCAAGTGCCTGCCAACAGATCAATGGATGAAGAAAATATGTCTTGTATACTCAATAAGGTATCATGTAAGCATAAAGAAAAAAGTTGGGTGTGGTGGTGCATGCCTATAATCCCAGTTAGTTGGAAGTCTGAGTCAGTAGGATCACAAATTCAAGGCAAGCTTGGACAGCCAAGCAATACCTTCTTTCAAAATAATTTCATTTTTCGAAAAAGACCTGGGTTTGTAGTTGAGTAGTAGGGCATTTACCTGGTTTGCATGAGGGCCTATGTTTGACCCCCCCAACCTGTAACAACAGAGGAAAGAAAGATAGAAGGAAGGAAGGAAGAAAAAAGAAAAAGGATGAAATGTTGTCATTTTCAGGAAAATGAATAAAACTGGGAGGCATCATGTTAAATGAAATAAGACAGACACAGGAAGACAGCATCACATGTGTTCTCTCAAGCGTGGGAGAGAGAGAGGAGGGAGGGAGGGAGGGAGGGAGGGAGGCGAGGGAGAGGAAGAGGGAGAAAGAGAGAACCTGAAAGTAGAGGAAGCGGTACTAGAGCGGAGAGAGATGGAGAAAGAGGAGCAAGGAAGAGAACAGAAGAAGGGCGGATGGGTGTGAGCAGTACACATGCGCAGAACCCTCAGAGTGAGCCCCGTTAATGTGCCCAAGAAATGTGTCTTAACAGTTGTAATGAAAATAAACTGAAAGGAAAAACCACAATGACATAACACTTCACACTCACTGGTATGGCTAGCACACACAAATAAAAATTAAAACTAACAAGGGTTGGCAAAGAAGTGACAAAGTTTGTGTTTACTAGGTATGATCAAATATAGTGAATGCTGCTGCTGAGCACCATCTAATGGAAAGGCAAGTTTGTAAAAATGTCCGGTGTGTCCTTATCTACCAGATGTGGCACCGTGTGACTTCTGGCTCTTCTCCAAAATCAAAGTGACCATGAAAGGTAAATGTTTTGAATTCATTCAGGATATTGAGGAAGCATAACTGCAACACCTGTAACAGAAGACTTCCAGAACCGCCTCATAAAGTGACGAGAATGATTGGATACATGTTCAAATTAAGGGGGAGTGTTTGGCAGTTTAATGGCCATGTGCCTTTTATTATAATTAATTTTTAAAATTTAAACATTCACTGTACTTTTTGATCACACCATATCATATTCATGCCATAGAATGATACTGAGTCACAAAAAGGATTGAGGTGCTGATACTTGCTATAGTGTAGAGGAACCTCAAAAATATTGCAAAAAAAAGAGAGGTCAGACACAAAAAAAGACAAAGACATGTGCTCCAGCCACACTGTCCCTTCAGCTCCCAAACCCACTGTCCACTCCATCACCCCACAGCCAGTCGTCTTCCCCAATGCCTTCCCAGATGCCACTTGACGGATGCACCTCTGGCACATTCACAAGGTCTCCTGAAGTCTGCAGGGAGCCAGGGCTGCCTCCTCTTAAGAAGAGGAAATGGGCATCTTCTGGTCCCCACATGAGCAGACATTTTGTTCAGCGGCTCTACCATGTGAGCTGGTGCCACATGCAGAAGGGAAGGCAAGGCCCAGTGACTTTGGTTAGAGCTAAGGAAGGCTCAGTGACTTATCTGTAACCGTTACCACGCCTCCTGAGTCCAAAAACTCATCCCACAGAAAAATCAAGGTCCAAGAAACAGGAAGGAAAGGCTTTGCATTGGCCAAGGAATGAAAAGGGAAGATTTGCTCCCAAGTCAGGGGATCAATCTTGAGAAGTTACAGACGTGCAATAAGAATAATGCGGGAAGGGGTTGGCTAATTGAGAAGAATATTTGTATGTTTTCTGGGAATTATTGGAGATCATTCAGGAGCTCAAATTTCACCTCTCTGCACTCTTTTCATGGTCTGATGCTTCTGGGCATGGCAGTTAGAGGTGTCTTTAGCCTTGAAGAGAAAGAGGGCCTGGACAAGTCTAGATCAAGTGAGCTTTGTACTGTAGTTCTGGACAAAACACTTCTCATGTGACCAACATGTCTACCTGCAGTGCTGAGTAGAATTTGACTCAAATGTTAAGGCACCAAACAGGACAGACAGGATATCAAGGCAGCGATAACACAGCTTGTATCCCAATTCCGTCACTCATGGGACATCTGCAGGCGCACTTGAAGTCAGTGTTTTCAGCAGAAGTGGCCTTCCAGTCCCTGAAAAGTAACACAAGCAACCATGGTCATCCTGATCTCCACATCCAAGATATTGTCAGTAGCAGAGCTGGTGGGAGACTAAGAATGCATTGGCCAGCCACATGACCTCCAGAATTAGCTAACTGGAAGTCAACTAAAACCAAATGACACTAGAGTGTTTATTTGGGTTTTCCCTTGGTAACCCATGCACGCAGCCTCTAAATGTCTTCACACCGGGGCTCCAGCCAGAGTCAGGCCCCTGGATGTCACCCAGGCCAAGTTTGTGAGTCCAAAGGACATGTAATCAGGCCTCACAGGAGAGGTGACCATGAGGTGGCCCAGGACCCACAAGAATCGCTCTGAGCCTGGCAGACACTGTTACATATACACTATCCCGGGCTTTCCAGAGGTGGGCTCCAGAAATGGGATCACACTGGTAATCTTGTCTGGTTAGACCTGAGGACGCCCACACTCATTTCATCCCACACCCTCCCACTCTGTAGAAGCTAAGGCCCATCTGAGGTCGGCCTCACCCCTCTACTAACCAGGGTCCTTCTCCTCTGAGGCTCCCCCACAAGACCTCATACAGCTCAAGGCACAGTTGTCACTGATGCCATCATCTGAGTCTGTTGGATCCAGGTTGGTGGAGAATGCGGGGCCCAGTCCTCATGTGGCAGGGAGACAGGTGGTTGTCCCTGACATGCACACTCTACTGGCAGCTGATCAGCTGAGCTAGGGAACCAAAGAGGCTGCGGCCTGTGCCCTCCTCATGATCTAGTCCCAAGGTTTCCAAGCATGTGCCGGGCCAGAGCTGAGCTCCTTGAAACGTCCTTCTTCATCCTCTGTCATGGCTCTGCTCCCTGACCCTCACTCTGGTCTCCCCACCAGAACTCCACACTCTGTTACGCACATGACCCTACAGGAAGGAATACTGCGTCTTTCTCACACCAACTTCAGAGCTTCTGGGAGGGGGCGGGCATCTCACCTCTCTGGTGATCACGGCCCCACACCTCCAACACACACAGGCAGTTCTCCAGATGGGCAGGTGAGCAAAGGTCCAGTCACAGACACAACCAGAATGCACAGCCTGCCCCTTGGGCTATCATGATTCACAGAGAAATTCAGCATCCAGGAATTCATCCTGAGGAAATAACCAGGAAAAGGGCAGAGGGCAGAGGGCAGGTTTGGCCACCCTAATGCTGCTTATAAAATGGAGATGGAATCAGTCCACATGCCCTTCAGTAAGGCACTGTTGCCTTGGTTCACACACACTTCCAACATGAACTGCTGGCTGACAGTAACCTCTCTTTTTTTTTTTTTTTTTTGACAGTAGTCTCTGTACCCCTACATGGACAGATGTCCGGGACTCTGCTTAAGCAAACAAAAGAGAGGAGTTCAAAATATTAAATTTTAATTTAATTGAACACAATCTTATGTCCCTTAGCAATGAGATTCACCTGGAGAAATGTCGTTAGGAACATCACTGCGTGTACTTATGCAAACTAAAGCAACTACGATGTCACTAGGCAATATAATTTTATGGGACCACTATCATATATGCAGGCCACTGTTGACCCAAATTTCATTATAGCACTTCTTCCAAACAGAGTAAATTGCAAGCTGGAGGGGAAATCCAACATACCTCTCACCCCAACCATCTCCACCAAGCACAGAATCCTCAGGACACCACTCATGCCTCACTCACAAAGTCCCCTGGAGGGAAGGTTCATTCATTCATCCCTGTGCATGGACAGGGAAGGCAAGAGCAGTGGGACATTCTCCTCTCTCCAGAAGGGAGACTCACTGGGACAGGACTCTGATCTATCGCCGGCTCAGCGGAAGAGACCCACTTTTGACTTCGGTCTCATGGACACTTCTCAAATGCTTCCTCCTGTACAGGGAGTTGCCAACCAAGCCCTTCAAGTATAGAAATGAACTAAGAAGCTCTCAGGGTTTCTCGGCAGACCACTTCAGAGATCTGCAGAGACTTCCTGTTCCTATTCAGGGTAAAGCTCTATACCTCATTGTGTTGAATTGCCCAACAATTCACACCTGCCCTTCTTGGGATGCTGACCCAGCTCCTGAGGATCAGCCTAGCCCCAATCAGCCCGGAGAGCCCAGGAATCATCCTTGCTCCACAGAAAGGTGGGAAACACTGTGCCTTGAGCCACTCCACCTGAAATACCAAGAGAGTTACACACAGAGACACGCTGCCAGACCTGCCTCCTCACCTGGTGCACACTCAGGAATCTCCTGACCTGGTGCACACTCTGAACATGGCATCCACCAGCTCTGGAGGCAGGAGGGAATATTGCCTTATAACACACACCCTGCCCAGCTCACGGCCCACTAACTTCAGCGAACTGTTCATCCCTGCCCTTCACCTTGCCTGGTTCATTCGCTCTTAGGGCACTCCCTGCACCTTTCTTGCTGTTATCTGTGGACCAGGAGTGCAGAGGAACGCATGGTGCTCACAAAAGGGCTTTAGCTGGCTGGACTACAGGGCCTGGCGCTATGGTTTAGAAGTGTCCTCCAAAGTCTGGGCCCCATCTGACAGAGCTGTTGGAACCTTCAGCAGGTGGGGCCTGGTAGATGGAAACTAAGTCATTGGAGACTTGCTTCTGAACCTTCTCCTCTCTCTCTCTCCCCTTCCCGGGCGCCATGAGATGAGCAGCCTGCTCCACCATGCGCTCCTCACCGTGATGAACTGTGGCACCACAGGTGCAAAGCAACCAAGCCAAGCAAGCACAGACTGAAGCTCTGCATCCATGAGCCAAAAATTCAGTTTTCCTCCTTTTCAGCTAATTATCTCTGGTACTTGTTACAGCAGCTAACAAAGATGACTAACATACCCGCTTCAGTTCCATGGCAGACACAGCCAGGGAAATTAGACAGAGGAGGCGTTAGCTTCGGGGGCTGTAAAAGGAACAGTGTCATAAGCTCTGCATCAAGGGGACCCTAGGTGACAAGATCCACTCAGTCAGGCCTTCTACCCACCAGAAGCCACGCTAGGTGATGAGAAGCATCACAGACTGTCTCCCAGTTCTTCTCCTGTGTGTAGGGTGTGAGGAAGGCTATGTGTTCTGCGCCACACAGAGCCACTCAGAGGGTCACAGAGGGCACAGGGGCAGCGTGTAAGAGCAAGCTAGCGGGAGTCAGTGGGCAAGAGTGGGAGGTAAGAAGAGGTCTCAAAGAAGGCGTGGGCATGCTGTGTGGATGAACAAGACAAGAGGCCATTAGGAAGAAATCAGGAGGATCAGGAGGAAGAGCTGAGAATAGGCAGATACTGTCTCTCAGGACAACAATCTGTGGCTCCATAACAAGGTCACCATGTGCCTATGACATAACCCAGACACTTTACCAGGAGACGAACAAGGAGAAAGGAAGGCAGGTGGCAGACCACACATGCAGAGGGATGTTCAAGGCTTTCTCCACCATTATCCCAGACTGGGAACACCTGATGCCCATCCACAGCAGACTTGATCAGCAAACTGGGCCCATCCCCATCAGGAAATAGAACTCAGCAATGATAATGAGTGCACTGTTGATATACCACCCATGGAGTGCATCTCCAAGGAGTTAGGCTCTGTGAAAGAGGCCAGAACAAAACAAATGATAAAAACCCGTGCACATGGTATGATAGTATTAATGTGAAATTCTAGATAGTGTAACTAATCTTTAGCAACAGAAGCAGATCTGTGGTCCTAGGGGTGGCGGGTTGAAACAGTAAGGGCAAGAGGAGCTAACTCATTTCCTGGTGTAGGTAGATATTTTGCAGTGAAAATAATGTAAAGGTGGGTGGTGCATGCAATACATTGCTTTTTGTAACGTTTGAATTCTGTTACTAGCAAAACTAAATGAATGTAGGTCTGAGCACAATATGTT